AACTGATTGTGGGTTACGCATCCCAGTTTCGGTTCATAAATACGCGGAATTTTGGTCGCAAATTGAAAATGTCCTTTCTCGACAATACACTGAACTAGTTTTGTGGGCACATGCTTCTGGCATGAGAATATTTAATGATTGTAATACTGCATAATGATTTACGGGTAGAAATGCAACGGAACTGAAAAAAACAAGGCAACAGACTCACTCGAAATCAAGCGATAGCACACTGAGTGGAAGCGAGTTGCGATTGGAATCAGGTTCTTTAAAAAGATGACGACTCGGATTACCACCAAAACTAGCTGTACGTACCACATCGAAATGAGTACGTGAAAGGGCTCGTTGCAATTTCTCCTCATTTGTCAACTGTTGCGCTGCAGAGATGAACTGTGGCTGACTGAAAATGATTGTGACACGATTAGATTCAGTTGGTAAAAATGCAATTTCGATCAGTTTTCATCAGTTTTGATTGATTTCCTGGACCCAAAAACAACATCTCGACTCTAGAAAATACATTTACTTTCACGCTTTTTGCCGTCAATTGATAGGTCTATTGTATTGCGGCGATCGGGGAATATCGGGAACCCCATACCGTTTTCGATTCCCCGTTCCCAACTTTTCCGAGCAGACTCCATTTCGAGATTCGTGACTGCAAAACTTCATTCCCGACTTCGCCCTGTCCAGACTGTTTTCCGTTTCCGCAACATGCTAGTTGTATTTGCTCTGTGGATTTAACTCAGCGAGTTCAGTCGTGACGATTAACTGATCGTCCCAAAATGAGGCTATTTTATTCCCACAGAAACGGAAATCTCGAAATTCACAAACTTTTGGTACGATGGCAGTTTCGGAACTCCTACAATGAAGCTTGCTTTCCTTCTTAACGTTCTCACACTTTTTTCGGTGCTATATGACGCAGCAGCCATTTTTTCAGCAGCGGCCAATTGCAACAATCGTTGTGACACATTAGAGTCGATAATTCTGAAAGAGTTTTGAAGCAAAAACTGACGCAAATACTGTTACACATTGAATTTTGGGTTATCCACTAGTCGATTCGCCCTTTTCACGAGCAGATAATTTGGTGAATCTTTTTTTACTGACACTAAAATGCAGAGTGCATCCGTGAATAACTGGATTAATGCGAACTGGATAACTCAAATTATGCTTCGAACAAAAACTCGATGCCAAATTCAGCTGGTTTTCACGATAATGAAATAACACTAAGCACAGATAGAAATGAATAGTTTGTTGGTAAAAACAAAATTCAACAATGAAATTAATGGAGAAACGATTAATAAAACGTAGAAAATTTGATACTTGTAGGGACGTTTTGATTTTGATGAAAAAGCAGTTCTGCAACAACGGTACTCTAGTGCATTCGTGGTGCTTTTGCTATCTGAAAACGAGCAAATTATGAATTGCTGTTTGAAATTGTCTAATGACACCAATACCCATTCAACGTTTTGCTCAATCAAAGCGCTAATCCAGCTTTTGTCAATCTCATCGAATATCGGATGTATCGAATTAGATGTGCATGTTTGACGGTGACATCATGACATTATCAGTGAATGTGATTATTGCCAGTTTCGATGGGCAGGACTC